ACACACACACACACACACACACACACACACACACACACACACACACACACACACACACACACACACACACACACTGACACGTTTTAGACAGATCAGGAAACAGAGATCATGCTGAACAAGAGCTCAGGACACATTTCACTGACACTCTATCCACTCTCACTGAGCACTCTAACCACAGGATGTGTGTGTTTGTGAGTGTGTACGAATACAGAAGTTGTATTTTTTTAAGTTCTCCAAGCCGTTAATAAAAACATCCAGGTTCACTTTAATTGGAAATAAAGAGCTCCCACCCTTCAGGGATGCCTGTGTGAAAACATTATTTGGGCTCCACGCGCCACCTAGTGGTTTTATGTCGCATTACATCAAACAAACAAGGGGGGAAGCCTGTGTTTAATGTTAACGTTAAATAATATCAATAAAAGCATGATTTAATTTTAGTAAGTAACTTTTCAACACATTAAATCAATGCACTAATGCAAACTATAATGAGCTTTTTTTTATACCTTTGGTTGCCTGATGGTGATAGAGGGTCTGGGGATTCGGGGATACTTCTGCTCAGGGCCAAACTCTGACTCCAGCTCATCCTCTGAGTTCTCAGAGAAGTCACCGAAAGATGGAGGAGACCCCAAGCGCACACCTTCGTGTTTGTCCTGCATGACGCAGTTTGAGTTGGTGTCATTTAGGTCCCCACTTCTTGTGGAGCCGGAGGAGATGCAGCTGGAGGTCTTCTCGGCCGGTTTGTGCTGCCCTACATGTGGGCTGCACGGTCTGATCTCTGGCTGGGATAAAACTGGACCTGCTGCTGCTTCCGGAAGTCCCTTGTTGCTTCTGGAGTTGTTCGACTGCACAGAAGGCGCTGAGTCAGCGTTAACATCAGACAGATCAGACAGGCTGCCAAAGCAGTGGCCTAGAGAGGAGCAAGGAAGTCCATGCATGCTTGCAGGATGAGAAATGACCATAAGAGACAGTACGGTGAATCCTGCTGGCACTGACATTAAGACGTAATTAATAGCTTTGTCCAACAAAGTCTACTTTAGGTCTTTAAAATCCAAAGAAGTCATAAAAATATCATCTTGGCAACAAATATTCTCAGTTCATTCTCAGATCAAGACACAGTTTCTCTATTTAAAAAAGTAAAATTTCCAAACAAAGCTTCTTTCCAGTGACCCAAACAACTCTTTCAGTGTCGAATGGTTGATGGTCTCTCTTTCCTCTGCTCTTCAGCATCCCTTGTCTTCCTGACAACCTGCACACATTGAGTGTTTCGAGGTTGCTCGCCGCTGGGTGTCTCATTACCCTGCCAGGTAGTCCCCCGGTCTTTTGTGAGTTTGGAGGCCTGGCCTTGGGCCACGCTGTTCAAGCTGGACTCTGGTTACCATCTGATCCAGGGCCAGTGACAGATAAACCTGCCCCTACACCTCGCCAGCATTAATTAATGAACTCATCTGATCGCAGAGCAGCAGCCTGGGGTGTAAAGGTTGCAGGAATGTTGCAGATGGTTGAATATGAAAGCTCCGGTTACAGTCAGACGCTGTAAGTGATAGGCCTGAGATGATGAAGAGAAAGCAGGACTGAGGGAGAGAGAGAGAGAGAGGGGGGGATGGAGGCAGATAGGTGGACCAACATCACTCCTCGCAGAAAGAGTGAGATGAGAGAAATGCAGCAGCCTTTGGGTGATGACTACTTAAATATTCATACAATTGCACTGCATCAATTCTTTATCAAGCCTGGCCAACTGGTTTATATGCATTTTTTATAAGATAGCCAACTAGATATTATTATGGCACATTGTGGAACGTTTTATATAATTTTTGTTATTTCTTTGCATTAAGACTTATTATTTTGCCAGAGCATCCATTTGTGATGGGGCTTAAAGGTTAGGCTTAAAGGGATCCATCATTAGTTGTAACATTAGACTTTATTTGATAAACATATATTTTAATTGTAAAATAAAGAGTGTAAAAATACTGTCGGTTGTTTAGTTTTTATAATTTTTAAACTAAAAGTTTAAAAATATATTACATAGACGGGGCCATTTTATTTACATGCAAAGCATTCTGGGTAAATGATGACATGGATAGGTCCTCGGTGCGAGGCTGCTAGGAGCTATATCCACCCTGAAGGTTAATCTTGGACAATATCTGATGATCGACTCTTAAATGAAACCAGAGAGCGTTGAAAGAGAGGAGAAGGTAGAAATGACTCAGCCTGTAACTGAAAATATGGATGGAGGACAACAGAGCTGCTTCATGGAAGAAGAACCTCAGCTTAGCCTGTTAGCTTTAGCATTAGCCCCAATGCTATCACCATATATATATGTACAGTATTAGCTCAGCGCTACACATTCTCCTCTCGTCACTGAGGTCCTCCATCCACATGACAGAGAGGGGAACGCAAAAATGACTCAGCCTGCAACTGAAAATATGGATGGAGGCAATATAGCGTCGGCGCTAACGCTAAAGCTAACAGGCTAAGCTGAGGTTCTTCTTCCATGAAGCAGCTCTGTTGTCCTCCATCCATATTTTCAGTTGC